AAATGCCATTGGTATTTTGATATGGATCGCATTGAATCCATACATTGCTTTGGGCAGTATGGACATTTTCATGATGTTAATTCTTCATATCCATAAGCATGGTATACGCTTCCATTTATTTCTATCTTTGCAATTTCTTTCTTCAATGTCTTATAGTTTTCTGAATACAGCTATTTTACTTCCTTGGTTAAATTTATTCCTACATATTTTATTTTCTTTGATGCAATTGTAAATGGGATTGTTTTCTTAATTTCTTTTTCTGAGAGTTCATTTTCAGTGTATAAAAGTGCAACTGATTTCTGAATATTAATTTTCTATCCTGCTACATTACTGAATTCATTTATCAGTTATAATAGTTTTTTGGCAGGAGCTTTCAAGTTTTCTATATCTAATATCATGTCATTTGTAATTAATAAAAGCTTTATTTTGTCCTTTCTGATTTGGATGCCTTTTTTTTTGTCTGGTCTGACTGCTGTGGTTAGGACATCCAGTAGTATGTTGAATAAAAGTGGTGAAAGTTGGTATCCTTGTCATGCTCCTGATGTTTAGGAGAATGTTTTAAGCTTTTCCCCATTGAGTATGATGTTAGCTGTGGGTTTGTCATATATGACCTTTAGTATGTTGAGGTATGTCCCCTCTATTCCCATTTTGCTGTGAATTCTTATCATAAATTGATGTTGGATTTTCTCAAATGCTTTTGCTGCATCTATTGATATGATCATGATTTTTATCTTTCATTTTGTTTATGTGGTGTATCACATTAATCGATTGCAGATATTGAACTAAAATTGCATCCCAGGAATAACTCCCACTTGGCTGTGGTGTATGATTCTTGCATTGTATTACTGAATTTGGTTTGCTAACATTTTATTGAGGATTTTTGCATCTGTGTTCATCAGGGATATCAGCCTATAATTTTCTTTTTTTGTAATGTCTTTGTCTGGTTTGAGAATCAGAATAATGGTGCTCTCATAAAATGAGGTTGAGAGCTTTCCCTCCTCTTGTATTTTTTGAAATAGCTTGAGAATGATAGGTGTTAATTCTTTTTTGGATGTTTGGTGTAATTCACCTTTGAAGCCATTGGGTTCAGGACTTTTGTTTGTTGGGAATTTTTTTTATTACTCAGTCAATTTTGTTAGTAATAATCAGTCTATTCAAATTTTCTGTTTCTTTTTTATTCTGTCTTGGAAGGTTGTATGTGTCTAGGAATTTATCCATTTCTTCCAGATTGTCTCATTTGTTAGCATATAATTGTTCATAATATTTTTTCATAATCCTTTGTATTTCTGTGGTGTCAGTTGTCACTTCTCCTCTTTCATTTCTGGTTTTATTTATTTAGGCTCTCCCGGTCTCTCTCTCTCTCTCTCTCTCTCTCTCTCTCTCACTCGATCAGTCTAGTTAGAGTTGGTCAATTTTGTTTAACTTTTCAAAGAACCTGCTCTTAGTTTTATTTATTTATTTAATTTTTTTGGACTCTATTTCATTCATTTCCACTCTGATATTTATTATTGCCTTCCTTCTACTCACTTTGGGCTTTGTTTGCCATTTTTTTCTAGTTCTTTTAAGTTTAGATTGCTTATTTGAGATTTTTCTTATTTCTTGAGGTAGACCTATACTGCTATGAAATTCTCTCTTAGGACTGCTTTCACTGTTTTGCACAGATGTTAGGTCTTTGTGTATTCATTTTCATTGGTCTCAACATATGTTTTGATTTTTTCTTTGATCTCATTGTTGACTCACTCATTATTTAGTAGCATGTTATTAGCTTCAATGTGTTTGTGTTTTTAACCTTTTTTTCTTGTAATTGATTTCTAGTTTCATACCATTGTTATCAGAGAAGACTCTTGATATGATTTTAATTTTCTTAAATTTATTGAGACTTGTTTTGTGGCCTAATATGTAGTCTATCTTGGAAAATATTCCATGTGCACTTGAAAAGAATATATATTCTGAGGCTCTGGGGTGAAATGCTCTAAAAATATCAATTAAATTCATCTGGTCTCCTGTGTCGTTTAAGGCCGCTGTTTGTTTGTTGATTTTCTATCTAGTAGATCTGTCCATTGGTGTGAGTGCGGTGCTAAAGTTCCCTACTATGATTGTAGTACTAGCAATCTCTCCCTTTATGTCAGTCAATATTTGCTTTATATACTTAGGTGCTCCTATGTTGGGTGCATAAATGTTTAGAAGGGTTATATCCTTTTGTTGGATTGATCCCTTTGTCATTATGTAATGTTCCTCTTTGTCTTTTATTATAGCCTTCATTTTAAAATCTATTGTGTCTGACATAAGTATTACTACCCCAGCCATTTTTGTTTGTTTGTTTGTTCCCGTTTGCATTAAATATCTTTTTCCATTTCTTTATTTTCAGTCTGTGTGTTTCGATCTCAAGTGGGTCTCTTGTAGACAGCATATGTACTCATATGTATGGGTCTTGTTTTCTTATCTATTCAGCTACCCTATGTCTTTTGATTGGAGCATTTAATCCATTTACATTGAAATTAATTATTGATAAATACATAGTTATTGCCATTTTGTTATTTATCTTTATGTTCTTTCATTTTCCCCTCCTTTTTCTTCTTAAAGAAGTCCCTTTAACATTTATTGTAATACTGGGTTGGTAGTGATGAACTCCTTTAGCTTTTTCTTATCTGGGAAGCTCATGATCTCTTCTTCAATTTTAAATAATAGTCTTGCTGGGTAGAGTATGCTTGGTTGTAGATCTTTACTTTTCATCACTTTGAATATTTCTTCTCAATCCCTTCTTGCCTGCAAAGTTTCTATTGAGAAATCAGCCGGAAATCTTATGGGAGCTCCCTTGTAAGTAACAAGTTCACGTTCTCTTGCTGCTTTTAGGATTCTCTCTTTATCTTTAAACTTTGCCATTTTAATGATAATGTGTCTTGGTGTGGGCCTGTTTAGGGTCATCTTGTTTGAGATTCTGTGCTTCCTAGACTTGAATGTTTATTTCCTTCATCATGTTAGGAAAACTTTCAGTCATTATTTCTTCAAATATATTCTCAATCCCATGCTTTCCCTCTTCTCCTTCTGGTACCCCTATGATAGAAATGTTACACTTAATGTTGTATCAAAGGTCTCTTAAACTATCCTCATTGTTTTAAATCATTGTTTTTCTTTTTGCTGTTAGAACTGGGTGTTTTTCATTACTTTATCTTTTAAATTTCGGATTCAGTCTTCCTATTCATTTAGTCTGTTGGTGAATTCCTTCTAGTGCATTCTTCATTTCAGTTGTAATCTTCATTTCTGACTGCTTCTCTTTTATTATTTCTATGTTCTTTTTTATGCTTACTGCCTCTTTGTTGAAGTTCTTTTTGAGTTCATCTATTTTTACTCTCAGTTCCTTGAGCATTCTTATAACCATTGTTTTGAACTCTGTATCTAGTAGGTTGACTGCCTTCTTTTTGTTTAGTTCTTTTTCTGGAGTTTTCTCCTGTTCTTTCATTTGGGACACATTTTGTTTTTTTCTTATTTTGGCAGCCTCTCTATGTTTGCTTCTAGGTATTAGGTAGGGCTCCTATGTTTTCCAGTCTTGGCCTTAAGTAGTAAATGCCTTGTGGGGCCCAGTGACACTGTCTCCATGGTCGCCTTCACTGGGTGCTCCAGGAATGTCCCTTGTGAGGGTTATGTGTGCCCACCTGTTATAGTTGAGCTTTGATTTCTATTGGCATGTCAGTGGGTGGAATTGACCCTCAGGCTTACTGACTGTGGAGTTTCGCCATGTACACAGCTTACAAGCAGCTGTGTGGGGGGCTTACCCCATGAACTGAGGTTTGCTCTAGTGGGCTTTGATGCCTGCTGAGACTGCCCTTTGGGTTTGCAGCTAGTGGGGCTAATTGGATGGTGCTCTCTTTTTGTCTGAGGACAACCTCCAAATATTTTGATTCTGGCGACTCTTAGGAATGGCTCCAGTGCAGGCCCAGGTCAGCCATTTCCTGTGACTGGTCAGGAACTACTTAGTAGGAGCTACAAAGCAACCCACAACTGGTCACTGCCTGTGCTAGACCAGGTGGTGCATGGGAGAGGCCAGGCTGGGAACCGAGGATGGCTGCCACCAGTATTGGAACTGGAGTAGCTTTGAAAAATCCCAGGACTCCCTGAGGCCTGCTGCCACCTGCTGGCTCCCATGAGACTCAGCTGCTGATAGAGCATCATGTGATACACGAGTTGGGTGAGGTGGGGTCTGAGAGAGTCACCAGAGTGGAGAGAATGGAGCTCACCAGGCCAATTTAGATTTAGATGTGGCTGTGTGGGGAGTGCTCAGCACAGGAAAGACGGTGCCCACCTGCCAGCTTCAGCGGAGGAAGATTTTACACAGGTACTGTCCCTCTAGTCCTTGCCTTGAAGCCACACAACTCAGTCTCTCCCCATTTGTCTCTGACACTTTCCAAGTCACTGGCCCTCAGCCAGATCCCAGCACAAGTACCTGTGATCAGGTGAGTGTGTGTATAGGCCTTTTCAGAGTATGTCTGAGTTTCCTCCAGCCTTCTGTTCCACCCAGATGATCAGAATCTTCACTGTTTTTCATAGCCAAATATTGTGGGGGCTCCTCTTACTGGCATTGATGCAGTGTGAGGCTGGCGTCCCTCGCTCCTCTAGGCGGGGGATGGTTCTGTGGCTGAGGTATCCCTCCCAATTCTCAACCACCACTAGGAGGTGTGGGGCCAGCCCTTCTTGCATCTCTGCCCCTCCTACCAGTCTCAATGAAGCTTATTCTTTATATCCTCAGGTATAAAACTTCTATTCACCTACAGTTTCATATGTGTATCCAGGTTAATTATTCTATAATTTAGTTGTAATTTTAATGTGATCAGTGGAGGAGGCCAGCACAGAATGTCTCTATTCTGCCATCTTGGATCCTCCTTCATCAATGTTTTATTTAATATATGCGTAGCTTCTATCTAAATATTTTAAAGGAATATTTTGAGACAAATTAGGTAAATAAAGCTTTCAAACTTTATTAAAGTATGAAAGACCATTGATGATTCAAAAAAGCTTTATCAAAAAAGGCTCTGATAAAGGAACAGGCAAACATAATTCATATGTTTAGGATTTTTCCAGAATGAACAAATTGGAGTAAAAAAAATAGATACACCTATTAAAATTTAAACCCAAACTACAAATCATCTAAAAATATCTAAACATATACATTTTATTTTAAAAGTTAACTTTGTGACTTCCTTTACAAGTTAAAGTGATTCCTTAACTTCTAGAAATGGTAAACAGCCCACAGTACATTATTACATAGCATCCATGTTAAATGCTAAGAAATCACATCTTGCCAGCACATGGAGAGTAGCTCTATCTCTTAGCAGTTCACTAATTATTAACTAAGTTCACCACCATTCATGTACAATCCAGAATTCCAATTTAATAGTTTACAATAAAACTCAACCTTTTCCTCTGAACCATGGACCAGAGCAATTGTGTTGACTCACTCTGCCTCTAAAGACAGATGTGCCGACACATTGGGAACCTCACCTACCACATACTTATCACCCTTTATTGTTATTTTCTTGTTACTGTTTTATGTCTTTTATTGTTACTATTTTCTTGTCCAACTAGCAGTAAGCTGCTTGAGTACAGGGACCAGGTGTATTTTTACTTTTCTAACCCAGTGCCTATTCTGTGTGTTGAGTAAATAAATTCTATGAGCCCTGAAGCAACTTGACATATCATCAAATCACAAGAGTCATGAAAACATAAACTATGAGAAGAAAATACAAATTTAAATGACTGTGTAAAATCTTAGTTCTCACTTAGGTTGCAATCACATGGAATTGTTAAAAGTTAGCGTAACCAAAGGGAAAAAAATTAACGTAACCATAAGCTTTCCTTCCAGTGGTCTGTAGAGTTACCTAATAGGGAGACTGCTCATAAGTCAGCTACCCCTGAGCCACAGCTGAGGAGCTGCAGCTGCTGAAACTTCCCCTTCAAAATGAGGTTTTGCATGGAATAGAAAAAATTGGGGCAGACAGAAGTAAATAAGAAGTCGAGTCCACTTAATCAGATTCACAATATAATTTCAAATTCTGTAGCATCAACTGTAATAAACATGTAGAGCATATTTAAAATTATGGGATTTTTTAAACTCCAGATTGGTCTGTGGATTTTACTCTCCAACTTCAGAACAATGGCAAGAAGGTTGCTTTCAGAATTAAACAGAAGTTCTTCACTCTTTATCTAGCACTTGTTTTAGCACACAATGGACAGCTTCACAAACCCCAAAACAGTCTACAACACCCGTAGCTAGTGGAAAGCATAATGTCTAATGTAGAACCGCACATGACAAAGGTGAGCAACACGAACCAGCTATCCACCATATAAGACATTTAAAAATCAGTGCTATCAAATAGCGTTTCACTAAAAGTGGTCCTTTAAAAAAAACTGAAGATTGTTTTTATTTATATTTCACAAGAATTAACATTAATCCTTTATAAAGTATCACTGTGTTTTTAAACCATTTTCCCACTTGTAAATATAACTGAAAATAACTTGTGGCATTATTTTTTCCTGCTCCTCATTATCTGCACAGTCCATTTCAGCTTGTACATCATGCTAGATGTTTCCATCGCAGGACTGTGATGGTTTTAGAAATGCATTTGTAGCTCATTGAACTGTATTATCTATAATATATAAGACTTAGCATGTATTTAAATTATTGAAAATAAAGTACAAAGTGTTTTATTTTTCTTCATGGTGCTTTCAGGAAGACATCAGGATCTTCTCTTCTCCCTAAACAAAAATAATAACAAAAATCAAGAGAAGATAAACTTACAAACTCTTAAAATTACAGGCTAACTTGAACTTACAATCATTAAATTTCCAACTGCATAAAGTTCACAGAGCTACAACCCAATGGTATAGCTCAAGCATCTAGTGTTTAAAACTGAATTATAAAGAAAGGAATAGAAAGCAGAAAATAACAATTAGCTAATTTGTAAATTGGTGTTCTATTTCTATTTCTATTATAAAAGTCAACTATTCATTTATTTAATTTACCACTTGAGTCTGTCAGTTTATGCCTGAGCCTGGGTCCCTGTCCAAAAATAATATAGCAACTCATTTTCTTTTATCATAAATATTTATTGTTTCAATCAGGCATATCCTCTTACTCCAAACAAATGATTCACCTATTTCAATAGATGAGTAAACAACTGCATATCTAATAGCTGCAGACATTGTCTAGTACTTAGTCGTTAACTTGATACATACACTAAAATAAATTTGTTCAGGAGATGTAACAATTTGTGCCTATGGAATAATAAAGTCTACTAATTTTATTTCCTTTGCCACAATAAAATTTCATTAATTCAAGCACTACCTATTCATAAATCAGGATCACATGGGCCAGACTAACAGCTTTTCCATCCCTGAAGGGAAAATACAGTTTACTAAGCAAAGGTAAAAACACACAGGTGTTCTTTCAGTTGTCCCATCTTTCAAATTATTTGTGCCTAATTATTGAAGTGAAATGGTACTTAAGTATTGACAAAAGGGACGTGGGAGGACAAGATGGAACAAGAGAGGTTAAATGTTATGGGCCAGGGGTCGGCAAACTTCTGAGACAGAAGAGCCACCAAGGGTCAGAAAACTGACTCGTGAGCCGCAGGCTCTGAAGTAAAATTGAAAATGAAAATAAAACGATCATAGTTTCACTTATAAAATTTTGAAAGGATATTATTCACATAATGGTGATTATGTAAAAATGTATTTATGGCTCCCAAATAAATTTTAAATTGTTGTGAGGGACAGGATTGGCTCTTCCAGAGGTTGGCAATCTTTTGAGATGGAACGTACCCAAAGAGCCGCCATGTGGCTCACGAGCCACAGTTCGCTAACCCCTGTTATGGGCTAAGAGATTTTTAAAATATTTTTGCAGTGTTTTCTTAAAAGTTTATAGCATAGCATATTGAAATCATAGCATATGACTAATCCCCTCTCACTTGATTTGCTAGCTACATCTACTTTCTCATTGCATTTTTCTTATAGAGCTTCCTACAACTATGTTTATGAATAGGTTGACTCATAACCCTGAGCTTCCAAACGCTGTCAAAAATTAACAGTGGGTGGTGGTCTCTGCAGAAAAGGAAGGGGATGAAGAAGTAGAAACTTCCAGTTATAAAATAAGTCACAGGGATGGAATGTACAGCATATGGAATATAGTCAATAATGTTGCAATATCTATGTATGGTCATTGATGGTTACTAGACTTACAGTGATCACTTCATAAGATATATAAATGTTGAATCATCTATGTTGTACACCTGAAACTAGTATAATATTATATGTAAACTGTAATTAAAAATAAATTTTAAAAAATTAACAATAAACCATACCTGTAGTACCTTGTGTACTTCTAGCTGAGGACTTCTCAACTGGATACTGCAGAGGTATTACAATACCTTGATCTGGCTTCTGAAATGCTGAAATGAGATTTTTTATTTTCCGGAAAAATCTTTTATGTACCCCAGGAGCTGTCTGGAAAATAAAAGTCCAAGCAAATTATTCACTGACCTTATAATGATACAAAAAGGTCTACAAAATGTGCAAGGGATGTTTAGAGAGGTAACATTTGTGTAACTTGTTTAAATATTTGAAAACATAAGGAAGAATTAAAAACAACATTCCAGAAGAGCTTACTTTGGTTGGCTGAATTTCCCTGCAAGAGGAGCTAATGAGCTGTCATTTCAGTTCTCCCAAGGGTGGTATTAGTTTGCACAAGCTCTTGCTCATTGCTTTTCCTTTCCTGCCTGCTACACATCATACATCCTGAACCTCCAAGGGTGTACAGGCCATTACCCACAATAAATTCACCAACAGAGAAGATGCAGTTAAACACAGAAAAAAACAGAGATCCTACAGGTCATTAACAGAAAGACTAAATAACCAAAACCAAACAACCAACCAACCAAACAAACAACGCATCATCCCACAGTATAAAATGCTACACAGGAAATTAAAATTGACTGTTATGATACACACAATGTGTGGCTGGTTACCCCTTATACACTCACCTCACAATATGTCCTGCCTCATCCTTCACATTATTTTTTTTCCTCCTTGGGAAACTTCCATATCCTCCCCCAAATAACTCTCTCCATCAACACTTCACTGTGACAAGGTTTTGTCTATGACACGAAAATAAAAGACTATATAAGGTCACCTTTATTTGTTTGTTTGTTTGCTTGTTTGATTTTGAAGAGATCATTATTTGCAGGTGACTATTAAAATGTATTCCTTTCCTGACATCAATTCTCTTGCCAAGACACAGCTTGAAAGCAACAACAATTTCCTGCATAAGCTTAGGAGCCAAGCTTTAGGCATTAGCTCAAATCTGTCATTTTACAATTGTATTGCTATAAGCAATTGAACAATGACTAGTTTTTCTAGAAAGCTGTTTTTCAGATATTCCACCTGGAAGATTTTTGAGGTGGGAGCTATTTATTAGCCTTTAATAAGAAAATATGAAGACTGGCATGCAGACTTCTGCCAACTAGACTAAAAGCTGAAAATAGCACATTGTCCATAGTAACTCTCGGTCATTTTCTACATTGGGGTAATTTTTCATTGAAAGCACAGGGAAAGTTCTTTTGAGTTCTAAATTAGTGTCCACGCATAGGCTCACACAGCTAGGAGTGTCAGTAGGTGTAGAACACTCTTGCACTCATCTCCACCCTTATGTTCAAAACACCTTTCTAGAGTTCTACCTCATCCAAAGTAACATGGCCATTATTTCGGGGATCTAGACAATTATTTGGCTCCAAGATAGAATCTCCAAATTGCAAAAGCAAGTTATAAGTACAAAATACCTCCTTATATTTTCCTTAAAGGACTTTCATTTTCAAAGCACTTTTCTATATTTTGCCCCCACTAGATCCTCAGAGATTGACAGTTATTGGCTGATTTGGTTTTTCCTATTTGACAGATTAAAAAATGGAAGTACAAAGAGATAGTTTAACCTGCCCAAGGTCCCACAGATGACCAGAGGCAGAATTGGCTCTAGATCCCAGGACCTAGTCTCTTGCCTTTCAGATCAGGACTAGATCAGATTCTGGTGAAGTTAGAGTAACCAACCTAAAAGAAGCTCTCTGGGTGTGGAAAGATTTGAAACCACACATCTTTTTAGCTGTTCTTGTGGCTTGTAAAACCATTTGTCAACAGAAGCATCTTTTTTTCTGGGGACTTATACATAGTTAACACTTGATTATCCATGCTAACAGAGAGAAATAATAGCACTGGATATATAAAAGCAATTTGGATTTGGGATGACTGTTTCTTCGGCAAATAACTGACCTCATTTATAGTGCTTTGCTTTGGTTAATAAATAAAATTATTTAGTATCTACTGATCTACTGACGATCAAATATCCAGAAAAATCTAAAGGCACTGAAGTCAGCAAGGGGAGGTTAGTACAGTTTTTACAATGTACTTCTGTCAATGCACATATTAATAAATGATAGGTGACTGTATGTAGAATTCTCTGAATTAATAATTTAGCAAAATTTTAGCCTAAATCACATGAAAAAAGTTAATACACTAGAAAATAAATTGACATAATATTTGTCATTCATAATTCGGTGAATCCAGGATTCAATTTTATTCCACTCTTTGAAACAAATCTCAGACTTACCTAGAATTTACATAATCTTTGCACAGAGGATGAAGTGCTACTGCCCTGATTTTTTCTGCAGTGTAGAAAAGTAAAGCATTGTTCCAAAAGCCATGTAAATATCTGTCATTTACCCAATTTTGAAAATATGTTTACCACAAGAATTTTACCACTTACTGACAACTCCCATCCTGTCACTGAACTCAGCTATTATTCAAATTTGCACATTTCCAATGTTTTCATCTCTTAATTATCCATGGAAACATGTTTTAGATCACAGCTGGTCTTCAATAAGCTCTAGAGAAAAATTTTCCAGTCAGGTTATATGAGCTCTGAGAATACACACTAGTTTAATATTCGCCTTAGCAAAAACATAACTAAGAAGGCAAATTTGGCAAATAGAAAATATGCAGTGTGCATTTCAAAAATAAATCTAAAGAGTTTTAACGGTTTACTTTTTGGAGAAAACATGCCAATCTTCTGCTCTCTTTGTGCAGAAAATTACAAAATTATTATAAAACAGGGTGAGACCAAACAGAATGAGAGAGTATTTATGTTCAATAAGTCCTCTCTTCCTTAATATGATCACAAGCATGTAATAATCTGCATATGATGTTATACTTGAAATGGAAGAAAACAAGTTTAAAGGCAGGGTTAGCTAAACCTTAATAACTTAAGATCCTTCCATAAAGAATATTCTTCAACAACTGAAGTCTACTTCTCTAGGAAAAACAGCTATTTCTGGTCAAACTACATGCAAATATATGTGTATATATCATACAAAACCATCCTTCATAATAAACGAAATTTAATTTCTTATTTAATCATCTCTACAGCAATGCAGAGAATTTTTAAAAATAAACAAGTATAAGTAGTTTTATTTAGAAATGGTACTGCATTTCCTGTCATTAATACTGCAGTATTAATTATACTGATATAAATAAAGCAACAGCATGTTTGAAAATTTGCCCTAATTCATCTCAGTGGTTCAAAACATTTGCAGTTAGCAATTTGTGCTTTCTAGTTTACTGATGAATTTGTAAAAGTTAGAGCTGTTTTAATTTTTTACATCTAAGCTTCAGAATTTCATAAATGCATAGGTTGATTGAGTTATTAATAGAGGTGTATTAGCATTTATGAAGTATGACAGTTAAGTTCACAAACTCACCCTAGAAAAAGTGCTACGTATACCTCATTGCTGAATATCACTACAGTCACCTTAAAAGTACTTCCCTTGGGAAGCTATGCACCTATGCCAGCACCTAGTCCACCCTTCAGAGCAATTTTGGAACTTTATTTCTGGAATGGCCATCAGAACTGTTGTCATATTACCCTTGAAGTCCTGGATGTCATCAAAATGTCTTTCTTTCAATATTTCCTTTATCTTCAGGTAAACAAAAGAGTCATTAGGGGCCAGATAAGGTGAGTAGGGAGGGTGTTCCAATATAATTATTTGTTTACTGTCTAAAAACTCTCTCACAGACCTTGTCATGGGAGCTGGTGTACTGTCATGATGCAAGAGCCATAAATTGTTGGTGAAAAGTTCAGGTCTTTTTCTTTTCTTTTTTTTTTTTTAAAGATTTTATTGGGGAATCAGGGAAGGGGAGAAGACAAGCTGCTATCCTTTTTTTCTTCAGTCTAGTTGTGGAGTACATCGCTTCACTAGCCCATGATGGTATTATCATTGCGCTCTTCCCGGGTGAGGCAGTTGCCCGCTGGCCATTGGACAGCTGTTCACGGTGGCTCACAGCAACTCTTGCTGGCTGCCGGCCACTCACACTGGCTGCCATCCACTCACAGTAGCTCATGGCACCCCACTGCATCAGGGGCTGCAGCCTACACCGTCTCTGGTGACTCACGGCAGCCCAGTTCCAGGTTGAGCTGTTGTTCACCATCTTAGCTATAGAAAGCGCAGTCAGTGTCAATGGCCCTCATGTGGGATCCGAACCAGGGCCCTGCTGCTCAGAGCTGGTGTCCCAAGCCAATTCTTAACCAACACGCCACTTGGCCGGCCCTGGTCGCTTTCATCTAACTTTTTTACACAGCCTTTTCAGCACTTCCAAATAGTAAACTTGGTTAACAGTTTGTCCAGTTTGTATGGCAATTAAGTTCGAGAACTTGCCACTCTATGCTTACATTGGCAGCACTGTAAAACAGCTTGGTAAAGTTCCATAACCTTGGTATATCAGTGTCTCATGGCTGTGTTCATGTGACATGTGGCGGTGTCTTGCTGAGTGGCGCTCATTATTGTTGTTGCATGTTTTTGTGTGCAGTCGCAAGAACGTCTGAGCTTAAATTAGAGCAATAAAAAAACATTGAATTTCTTGTTAAATTTGGCAAGAGTAAAAGTGAAATCAGGGACATGTTAGTCCAAGTTTATGGGAATAATGACTTGAAGAAAACGGCAGTGTACAAATGGATTAAACATTTTTCTGAGGGGAGAGAATGCATCACTGATGAAGAGAGGTCAGGGCGGCCAGTAACAAGCAGAGCTGACGAAAACATTGCAAAAATTCATTGAATTGTGCACCAAAATCATTGGTTGACAGTGAGAAGCATAGCAGACAAAGTAAACATTGATAGAGAAACAGGAAAATCTTAACTGAAATCTTCGCATGAGAAAGGTTTGTGCAAAAATGGTCCCAAAGGAGTTCACTGATGAACAAAAGCAAAGGAGAGTCGAAGTTTGCCAAGATCTTTTGCAGAAGCAAAACAATGTTTTGGGCCGTGTTATCACTGGTGATGAATCACGGGTGTATCAATACGACCCTGAAACAAATTGTAAAAGTGCACAATGGAAGTCAGCTAATTCTCCATGACCAAAAAAGTTCTGTCACTCCAAATCAAGAGTCAAAACAATACTGCTAATTTTTTTTTATATCATAGGCTACTCATTATAAATTGTAGCAACTGGACAAACAGCTAACCATACTTACTATTTAGAAGTGCTGAAAAGGCTGCATGAAAAAAATTAAACGGCCTGAACTTTTCACCAATAATTTATGGCTCTTGCATCATGACAATGCACCAACTCACACACCACTGTCTGTGAGGGAGTTTTTGGCCAGTAAACAAATAACTGTATTGGAACACCCTTCCTGCTCACCTGATCTGGCCCCCAGTGACTTATTTCTTTACATGAAAGCAAAGGAAACACTGAAAGAAAGATATCTTGATGATTCAGGACATCAAGGGTAATATGATGACAGCTCTGATGGTTATTCCAGAAAAAGAATTTCAAAATTGCTTTGAAGGGTGGACTAGGCACTGGCATCAGTGCATAGCTTCCCAATGGGAGTACTTTGAAGGTGACTATAGTGATATCCATCAATGAGGTATGTAGCACTTTTTCTCGGATGAGTTCATGAACATAATTGTCAGTTCTCGTACAGTCATATTGTTAGCAATTTGGGTGAGTTCGTATTTTTTAGGGCTTACTAGGTATTAGGCTCGTGTGGCTAAGAGCTTTCTGTATATGCATAATTTAATTTAATCTTCAAAATGAGCCCTATGAGTAAGACACGATTTTTAGTCGCATTCTACAGAAGAAACTGGTGGAAAAAAAAGTTTAGTAACCTGCCCAAAGTCATAGACCTCTCAGAGAGGAGGGGGCACTTGACTTGGAACTCAGGTCCACCTGACAGCAAAGCGGGCCCTCACATTGCTACTTAATTTGTGTTGTATCTCCCCAAGGGTATTATAAGCTTTTAGAAAACTGGAGTCATGTTGTTTAATACCCCCATACTACCAACACTCATATTAGTATCGTTAGGTAAATCATTGCTGATTTAATTATTTTACAAATTTTTATATGTTTTCTAAAATTTTGCATAGGCACTGAAAGTTTGACACAATTCTTTGACTTTTTAAAAAATCCTTCCCCCCAAGTGAGACCACTCCATACAATGGTGGTTGAACTAAGACCAAAACTCTCTCAAGGCTTCTAAATGATCTATGAACAATTTTGGATTGGAGCTTTAGTGACTTGAATCTGATGAATATTTTGGGAATGTAGGATTTGACAGCTTTTTAATAAAACCAGCCAAAATTGCAAACACGTCCCTGATACCCACAGAAGTAAAAATAAATAAAAGAGCTATATACCTCAGCACTCCAAGAACCTGTTTCTGTCTGGGACACTCGGTATGTATAAATGTAACCTTGATACCTGTGAAAGAATAAACTATATTACTGGAAATTCCAAAAGAACAGTGGATGCTCTAAACTTGAGCTTAACTAATAGAAATAAATGTTACATATACTGGGATATACATATGTGGCATCATGGCATTCATAGGAAGAAAATTCTGTGAATCTAATTTGCTTGCATATTATATCTGGCTAATCAGTTTCCAGTAAATCTTCTTTATCTTTTCTTTTTTTTAAAAATTGTGGGTGCTCACACTTTTAAAGATTTGTCTAGTTGAGAGTAAGTTTGGACAGAAAGAAACTAGAGATCTGTTGTAACTGGTAAAAATTATGAATTATTAAATAGATTTAACAAAGTTCAGTGTTATTATTTTAAGTACATATAGAGCCTTAAGGCGAAAACATTTCACTGGGCTAAGGTATTATCAGGCCCACTTAACATAATAATAATAATAAGATTAATTATAAATATAATATTATATTCCTATATTACTGTTATGTTACTATATAACATATTATAAAATAGTAGTAAGAGCAATTTGAATTAAAAAGGAGTCCTGCTAAAGTACTTGAAAGCACCTTGTCCTTTCAGATGGGATAAACATTCTTCCTCATTACTCAGTGTGTATGCATATCGTATACCTATATAGTTGATTTCTACTACATACCAAGAGTTTTATATGCTGTATTACTTTGCTCAGGCTGCTATAGCAAAGTACTTAGACTGGGTAGCTTAAACAAAAGAAATTTATTTTCTCACAGTTCTAGAGTCTAGAAGTCCAAGATCAAGATGCCAGCAACAGAGATTTCATTATGAGGCCCCTTCTCTTGGCTTGTAGGTGGCTGCCTTCTTTCTGTGTACTCATGTAACCTCTTCTTTGTAAGCATGCATGGAGAGAGATTGTTCTCTCTCTTTTTCTTCTTTTTATAAGACCACCCATCTTATTGGATTAGGGCCCCAACATTATGACCTCATTTAATATTAAATGCATCCTAACGACCAATCTCCAAATACAGCCAAATTTGGGGTTAGGTTTCAACATATGAATTTGAGGGGAGCAATATTCAGTCCAAATCATTCCACCACTGCCGCAAAATTCACATCCTTCTTGCATTCAAAATACTTTAATTAAATCCCAACAGCCCCCAAAGTCTTAACTCGTTCCAGCATCAAATCTAAAGTCCAAAGTTTCATCTAAATATGATCTAATCAGATTTGGGTGAGACTTGGGGTGTGATTCATCATGAGGCAAAATTCTTGTTCAGCTGTGAACTTGTGAAACTAGACAAATTGTGTGCTTCCAAAAATACAATGGTGAGCCAGGCACAGAACAGACATTTCCATTCCAAGAGGGAGAAATAGGAAGGGAAAAAAGGATGATCATTCCCAAGCAAGTCTAAAACCTCATAAGGCCAATTTCTTAATGCTTGGAAACAATTCTCTTTGGATCGATGCTCTGCCCTTCAAGAACACTGGGTGACACTGTCACCCTATCAGCACTGCGGGGGGGGGGGGCTGGCCCCACTCACTCAGCTCTGTTGGGCTCTGATCCGACCTTTGAAACCTAGGTGGAGGCAGACTTTCCCCCCTGGGCCTGTGAACTCTGGTCCTGTGGTGGAAGTGGCATCCCTGATTATCTCTGAATCACTTTCAGGGCCATTCTTCCCTTTTCTTGAAAGATAAACATGTTTGCAGACAAACAGCTTTATTGTTGTATCCTGTTCCCTTTGATTCAAACTGACAGTGTCTCTGATGCTTTGGTCCAAACTATTTCTGGCTTCTGCTGAGATGGCTAGTTAATATCATGGGTAATCTCTGTAAGGAGTGATTGTCCAGCCATACAATTGGTGTTTTCTCCACTTTTTGCCATATGAATAGGCTAAGAATTTGCTAAATCTTTAAGTTCTAATATCTTTTTGCTTAAGAATTCTTTCTTTCTTTCTTTCTTTCTTTCTTTCTTTCTTTCTTTCTTTCTTTCTTTCTTTCTTTCTTTCTTTCTTTCTTTATTTTAGCTGAGCCATCCTGCCACCCGTTAGCAGCTCAGCAACAGCTCAGCTCGGGTGGGACTTGAACCGCTGTTGCTCAGAACTCACACTCTTGAGCGAGCTTTTAACCAACTAAGCCACTTGGCCAGCCCAAAAATTCCTTCTTGAATTCATCTCTTCCCCTTTGCATTTTACTATAAGCAGTCAGGAAGAACAAAGCAGCTCCATCATTACTTCATTTAGAAAATTCTCCTGTTAAATATCTAATTTGCAAGTTCTACCTTCCACAAAATACTAGAACACAGTTCAGCTAAGTCCTTTGCCATTTATAACAAGGTTGACCTTTCCCCCAGTTTCCAATGACATGTTCCTTATTTCCTTCTGAGACCTCACCAGAATGACCTTTAACATTCACAGTTTTACCAACATTGTGTTCATGGCAATGGAGGCTTTTCCCAGCATGCACCTCCAAACTCTACCAATTACCCAGTTCCAAACCACTTCCATGTTTTTAGGTGTTACAGCAGCGCTGTGCTTCTTGTTACCAAAATCTGTATTAGTCTGTTTAGGCAGCCACAGCAAAATACCATAGACTGGGTGGCTTAAACAAAAGAAATGTATTTTCTTACAGCTCTGGAGTCTGGAAGCTCAAGATCAAAGTGCCAGCAAAGTTAAGTTTCATTCTGAGGCCTCTTCTTTTTGCTTTTAGGCAGTCACCTTGCTGTGTGCTCAGATGACCTCTCCTTTGTGTCCATACATGGAGAGAGATCTCTCTCTCTTTCTCTTCTTCTTCTAAAACCACCCATCCTCTTGGATTAGGGACCTACTCTTATGATCTTATTTAACCTTCATTACCTCCTAAATATACTATCCCTAAATACAGTCACATTGGGAGTTAGGACTTCGGGAGTACAACTTAGTCGATAGCATATGCATTATCTCTTTTGAATCCCACAACAATCTCATGAGCTTTATATTGTGAAATTCATTTTATAGATGAGGAAACTGAAACTTTGAGAAGTTAAGTAACCAAAGCCACACTAAAGATCAAGCAGCAAAGATGGATTTGAATCAGGCCTATTTGACTCTAGAGTCCCAGGTCTTCATCCCCACACTATAATAGATATAGATTATTTATTGCATTTTAGTGTATATGGTAATGCTACTTAACTTGCCTAATAAATTTCTACTTCATAGAAAAGTAAGATAAACTTTTTTTCTGAATTATTTCAAATTATGAATCTGACTCTGGATCAACAGTTTTATTTAAGACACTTTTTGATTGTTATTCTTTGGCACAAATTTAGGTCAATATAGATCTTTGATTAGAATACATGCTAAACTCAAGTAAAAAATAAGTGTGTTTAAACTTAAAAGAGATGATTCTAAAGCATTCCAAGCAGGAGGTCATCCTTGAGTAACTGACCTCATTCACCATCAACACCCTTTAGAACTCTTTAAATATGTGGATTAAATTACTATATATTTAATCAATATTCATCATTACTGATCACCTAAGGCACCAAAGATAAAAAAGAAAGAAAAAGAAAACATCTAAAACACTCTAATCAGGTTCATTTAGTTCATGAAACCAAAAAAACCAAAAAGATCAATTTAATTGCCCTTATGATTACAAGAATTTTTTCATTTTTGTTATGAAGGTTTGCAGGAATATTTAGATCATATATAAAATAAGTTAATATATGCATATGTATAATATGTTAAATAAATATAAAACATATTGTTCAAGTCTTGTGTTTTTTTAAGCAATTTAAATCTACCTCAAAGCCCACTGATTTTGGTAAATACTCTACAGGGAACAAGGCAAGAGCTTTGATTTCCATTTTTTACCATGGGAACTTAAAATATAGGCTTGAAATTATTTTCTTAAAGTCTCAGCAAATTGGAGATACAAACAGGGAAATAGCATAGATCCTTTGTTCTATTTTCCCTGTGGTAAGTGATTAATACCAATAATTCAGTACCATTAAAATGTGATGTGGAAAAGCATTATTTAAAAATCTCAGCAACAATGCAAGCAAAAATTTAAGTAACTGGTTTTCCACTTTCTAAAACAGTGGGTCTCTAAAAATACAATGAATCTTTCTTCCTACTACCATTCAGCCTCATTTAGTCAAAATAAATGAGTCTGTTTTGAATATTGTTTCCTAACGAATCTGATCTTATCTCACTTTCAGTTAAGCAGCAGGAACCTGAGTACCACTTCAAAAGTCCTTACCTCCTTCAGTCTCTAACAATCTGGTGTCAGTGACATAAAACTTCTCATGATTAACCCATCTAATATTAACAATTTCCTACTCCCCAACCCCTCAAATTTCTGAATGAGCAAAAATTGTTTCACCCCTCAGATAAGCCAGCAGTTCATCTCTTCTTCTTTAAAGTCGCTGAAGAAACTGACCAAGGAAGGATCCCCTGTAGTCAACTCTCACTATCATATGTCATGGATGAAAGAGATCTAAAAGATCGCAATTAAAATTATGTTCCCAGGGTAATAACATTGGCATCATCTGGGAGCTTGTTAGAACTGCAGAATCTCAAGCCCCATCCCAGAAATGCTGAATCAGAATCTGCATTTTAACAAGATTTCCAGAGGATCTCTAAGAACACTAAAGTGATTCAAATGCAAAGAGAATACCCACATTTCACTGGGAATATTGAAGAAAATGTCCCCCGAGTCAAGCTGGCTTCTTTCACTCACCCAGGAGACTTCTGTGTCATCTTCCCCAGGGTCAATCAGTCTTTGCTTTAAGAATGCAATTTTATTTAAATATAAGCTGAAGCTTTTTCAATTGTTTCAGTCTTCAGAGAGCAGTGTTTCTGAAACATTTTCTCCCTCTTTCCCAACAAGATTTTATAGTTTTGTTTTCTGTAGCTTTTATTATGAAACAATAACTTTATAATATAAAATTAAGGTAAAATAAAATAAATAAATAAAAAATTAAGGTAAAATATTGAATTTTTTTTCAAACTAAGCATACTCATTCTCTCTCCCCGTCCACTGAAAAAATCACTGTTCTAGCAAATAAACTGGAAAGCTATAAAAAGAGCCATAAAATCATGCATATTTTTTACCTATTGACCTTGCTTATCTTCATACACTCCAAGGAATCAAAAGGCAAAAGCAATTTGACAAAGATTCTCATAGTAGTTCTATTTTAATATTGAAAATAAATGGAATTAACTTAAGTATCCCTAAATAAGGAATGTTACTCGAAATAAGGAAATGATAGCAGAAACAATGTTTCAAACTCATACCAAAATTCCAAGGTACTAGAGTCTTATATCTTTAAAAAAAATTAAGCACATGGGCTATGCTGATATAAAATGATTGTATGTAAAAAAAAGTGAACGTAGGAGAAGTCACTCTGATTACAACTGTTCAAAACTGTCTGTCCCTGTATGTATATAAACTAGAAATACATTTAAACTAATATAAATTCATCACTGCATATTAGTTTTCCCTATAAAGTTATATAAGTGACTAAAAAACATTTTTTTAGGAAAAGAAGCGAATTAGATCCTTTCTCCACATTAAAATAATGTGGAGAAATGGAATTCAACAGTTAAATGTAAACTACCCAAATTTAAAACAAAAACTGAAGTGAAGTTTTATGACATCTCTGGAAGACAAATAACTTCCTAAGCTGGGAAGAAATCAAACAAGAAAATGTGTAATGGGTTTGACTACTAAAAATGTCAATTTTTTTGTGCATCAAAGAAAAGTAATGGCAAACACCAAACTGAGAAAAGATATTTGCAACAGATTAAGGATTAGTCAATAAAATCCCATAATGTGTTAAGAAAAATAAAAAAAGATCCAAGTGGTTAAATGGGCAAAGTACACAAAAAGCCAATTCATGAACAAGGAACTACAACGGCTTACGACCATATAAAAGACACTCAATCATTAATCAAAGAATTATGAAATAAAGAGTGAGACACCAAATTTCAAGGAGAAAGTTTTTAACAAGAACACCCATTTCCAAGCAGGGTTCAGTGAAACAGACACTCTCATGCATTACCAGTGACAGTACATATAAAGTGGAAGAACTATTTAGGAAAAAATATTTGGTGACCATGTATATATAAAGAACCCTAAGCTGTGCATGTTTCCTGGCCTAGAAATTGCACATCTTTAAAATTCATTATAAAGAAGTAGTCACAAATACAAAGAAATTTTATGGACTGAAATATGAATCATAATACAATTTATAATAGCAAAAAGAATGGAATTATTCAAATGTCTAAAAATAGATGACTGGTTAAGGAAAATATAGTACATTCACTAGCTACACTATATGCAACCATTAAAATAATGTTTAAAAATCATTTGTAAGAGCATTATATATGAATGGTTTTTTTTTTCATGTTAAGTGGAAAACACATCAGAATAAAATATTGTAAGAGCATATGTGTGTTTACAAAGCAATTCTTATATTAATATATAGAGGAAAATCCATGTAATTTTCAATAACAATTGTCTTTAGGTTATAAACCTATAGATGCTTTTCCCCTCATTTGCATTATCTACATTTTTCAAATTTTCTATAATATGAATAATCAGGAACTATTTTATATATAATGTATTACAGAATTTTACACCTTAAATCTATGTAACTTTGCTAACAGTTGTCATCCTAATAAATTTGAATTAAAAAAAATAGACTTATTATACAAAAATCTAGATTTACTTACTGAAAATAGAAGAACAACTTCTCATTTTAAATAAAGGTGAGCAATCCTATAAGTGGAAAACTTACTCAGTACTTTATGAGATTCAGTTTCCCAAAACTGAACAGAGAAAAAGGCCATACCTAAGGGCCATGACTGGGGTTCAGAACTTGGGAAAGAAGCAAGCATATTTTGAAAGTATTGTTTACAGTTTGAAGGCATATGCAATGTGTTATTTCTACAATAAAATACAGAAACTAAAGCTCAACCAAACCTTCTTGGGTAATGGGAGTAATCAAAAGATAGAATGAGAAACTATTCTGAGCAAACCCTACAATTAGTCCATGTGTGTTAACGATACCTTCTTATTCATGTGTATATGACACCATTTACATTGTTATTCCCACTGCACATCATAAGCATATGCATTTTGGGTTAAAATGAGTACACGGTTTATTTCAAAATAGAATATGATTTTGTTACTACAGCATAGTACTGAAATGGGGGAATGGAAAGTTTATGTATATCAAAAGGGACTTTTGGCTCAAAAAAGTTGAGAGCTTATAAAAGGCAATGTATCCATGTGTCTTGACTCTGCAGCACAGTCTGACAGTCACCCTCTAAGACATGGAGGCCCCAGTATGTCCATCAAAAGATGCTCGGGGACTCCCAATTTGCCTGCTATTTTATGCTACTTCCTAAGGAGGTTTGCATGGAGAACCAAGAGTCATAAAAACTGCATTTATGCAAGATTCACTTTAGGTGAAAACGTAAATGTTTAAGAATTCCCCACCTGCCTAAATTAATTCCATATGTGATCTTGGCCTAAATGGGCAAAAGTCTAAAGTTGCCTTTATATGTTGCATATTTTACCATAAGCAATCTTATGCAGAAGGCAGGGCACACATTACTATTCTTGCTTTACAAATATGGAAACCAAGACCCAGAGAAATTGAGTGACTTCCCCCAGAGTCCACACGCTGGCCTGAGATCAGTCCCTAACTCTTTGTAGTAAAGAACAGTATTTGCTTTGACAGTTCATTTATTAATTCAAAAAATATATATTAGGTGACTACTATGTGCCTCATGATGCTTTTTATGTGCCAATCTATGTTCCTGCTGCACACGACAATGCCCCCATTTTCAGAACATTACATTTTAGCAGGAGAGCCCAACAATAAATAAGTAAATGAGCAAATGTCAGATAGTCTAAAGTTCCTTAAAAAATAGAGTATAACAAGGACAAGGAGAGGGTACTTATGTTAGATAAGGTGGTCAAGAAAGTCCTCTCTGAGGAAAGAAGCAGGAGCAACAATAAGGATGAAGGCCCTAGCGGGCAGCACACTTGGCAAGCTTGAGAAACAACAAAGAGGCCAGTGTGGTTGAAGCCTTAGGCACATCTTGCTACACACTGTCCTCTTCTCTCCCTCCCTTGCCCAGGTTTTTTTTGTACCTTATCTTTTACCTCTAACTTAAGGGACCCTCCTTTGTCAGCTTTCCTAAAGAAGCCCCTTTCATGGCCTACTCACGCCTCCATCTTATTTTGATAATAACAAGGCCTAAGAATACTACTTGGCTTCCATTGACCTTCCAGTTTCTGCTTGGGAAAAACAATAATATAAGCAAAAAGTAAAGATCTGAGCCTAAGAGATTCAATAGCTCCCATTTATTTCCTTTGAAGCCTTTATAATAAATGTATTTAGCATGGCCTGAGAGTTACCAGACACATGGCTTGACCATTAAAAAATAAATGAAATAAAACAAACAATGAAAATCCTCTATTACCAGCCTCAGTATAATCTTTCTTTACTGACCCAAAAGGTACTTCAAAACCTTGCAGTACATCATTGGGTACCAAAATTACTACCAAGCATTTTCCCTCATTTTGTTCCTGTCTAGAACTTACTGTGCAGAGCAGGTGTTTCCATGGGTATTTTTATTATGTTGACAAAATGTAATTTAGCTAGTTACTTTCTTAGAAATGCCCAATGAGTACTGACATAAATTCACTGAAAAAAAAATCTAATAATAACAGTAGCTTACATTTACTGAATGTTTACTATGTCTCAAGTCCAGTGCCAAATCTTTTACCTGCATTATGGGATTTAACCCTCACAATCTTATAAGGTAGGTAGCACTATTATACTCATTTTATGGATAAGAAAACTGAGAGACTGAGACGTTAATTTGCTGAGGTCACAAACCTATCATTGGATTAGTACAGGATTAGGTGTCAGTTCTGTCTGACTCTGGAGCTCTAGAGCAAAGATGAAGTTGCATCTGATTAAAAATAGTACATTAGACAAAAACATGCCTAGGTAAAGGGCAAAAGTGATTCATAACAAGGGTGTTTTCCCACCATGTCCTTTACAATTATTGTCTGTCCTAACTTTTATTTAGGAAAGGGTCCTGTTCCCCACACAACTCCTCTAAAGGAAGCTAAATAAGCAAATCCAGAGAGGCAGTTTTACTCACAAACATCTTCCTCTCCTCCTACCTAACTGGCATTACATTCTTCAAGTAAAGTATTCAGTTTTTTAGTCTTCTTCTTCTCCCTGAATTTGATGGTCTTCCTTTGGGATGACACCTCCAAATCCATTTAAATAGAGGTGGAGAGAAGCCTTTTCTTTCATCAGGAGCTACTGGCCCTAAATCTGGCCACTCCACTATCCCAGGGCACTATCTTGCTGGCCTCCACTAGAGGTCAAAACGGAAATCAGGAGCCTGGGTCTTTCTCCGAGCAAAGTTAAATTCTAGGCTGTATTTCCCTACCCAAAGTGGCATTCACTGCCCCCCAAAGTTACTTGGGAGGCCTTTCTGGAGAGCGAAATCCCCAGTGAGTGGCCTAAGCCAAAGCATGGTCCACCATGGTCCTAGGTTGGACCTGAAGAAGCCCGAGGGGCCATTGGGTGGGCAGTGGAAGAGGCTGCAACAAGCTTCTGTGGCCCTCACATTGCCTGCCCCTGCCACTCATGCCCACTGCCCATGCTCACCCTCTGCAGGCCCTGGGCCCAGCCACCGCGACATACTCACAGCACACAAAGGCAGTACACGCCTGGGACACTTTCGCTGTCCCTCAGCAAATAGCTGCCGTCTAGACCGGTGGCAAGCAGAAGCTTCTCCCCTGTCTCCCGGCTGATTTTGCCATGATACACAGCCACTGCATCCATGGTCTGGTGGGCTCTTGAGTGGGCTGTGGCGTGGGACAGCAGAACAGATGCTGCTGCTGCTGCTGCTGCTGCTGCTGCTACTACCATGCACGAGTCAGCCACCTGGCTCCCAGTTAAGCCAGATGTGCAAAAAAGAGAGAGGTGCACCAGAACAACAGGATGTTGTGTACCTGCCTTAAAACCTCCTTCTCACACTTCAATTAAAACCAGCTCAGCAATTTAGCAGCTTGGTTATTGCCACAGGGTTCGATCTCCTACCTGCCCTACCCCCACAACACAGGGTTCATGTGGAGAGGGGAGGACAATGGGAAGAAGGTCCTTGCAAGATTTGGGCTACCAAAGTGCACACAGAGGAATGCTTGGTAATACTTTGGTTATAGCAGTTTTCCCAGAGGTTCTCAGGGATGACTTAGCTTAAGTAGTTCCTAAATAGGTTGATGATAGAGGCAAGTTGTACATGGCCTTCATGGGGGTCACAAAAGCACTGACAGAGAATGAAAGTACCAAAAATCTCTGAGACCAAAACACAGAAACTATGACTACTGTCACTGTGTAATCACTATTGACCATAGTCAGGAAGCTCCTACAGAATCAGAGTAGTAGTAGAACAAGAGACTTAGGGCAAGTGCCCCCTCTCCCTTGCCTACTACTCCTTATTTTCTTCTTGAGCAATCTTAATCCTGAGCAAATACTGACTTTTTCTCCTTTCTTGTCCAATATCCCAAAGTCCTGGTTGAGGTTCAAAAATCAGTCTATGGAGACATCTGGTAAGATGTCGGAATAGACAGATGCTGTGCCGACTGCCTCCCAGGATCACACCAAAATTACAAATAATTTATAAGATATTCAACCTCAGAAGTTCCCTGGACACTAGATGAGCAGAACCTCTAAATGAAGGACTTAAAGAGGCCACATCAAGTTTGGTAGGAGGGGTGGAGATGAGAGACGGCGAGCCCCATGAGGGACACCTCAGCAGTGGGGAGGCTTCTCAGGTTGGGGGAGAGACCCTCTGGCCCCACACCGCACTCACCAGCCCAGAGTTACTTTGCCAGGAATAGGAGTTCTACAATAGCTGGAAGTAGAAATTAGTGAGGACTCTCTTTACTCAACACAGTGAGGCTGAGGGCAGCTGGAGAACCAGTGGAGCCGGCAAACTGACTCGCTCGCTGGTGAGCACTCACCCAGTACCAGGTAGAGGGAGTAGCTTTATGAGCGGGGCCCAGGAGCCTCCAGGAAGGACTGAACTGAGTGCCTTTGGCACGGGAGCTTGAGGATTTTGGGACCATTGTTCCCCTGGTGTGGAGTTTGCACATGAGTAGTGCACAGGAGGCCACCATTTTTTCAGGGCTGGGCCCTCCCGCAGAGGCTCAGGTCTGGGACTGCATTGGTTTGCTGGAATTGGCACAGGAGTGCGTGTGTGCATAAGAGCGTGCATGCGTACGCGTGCACACATGCAGCCTTGGATCCCCACCCTCCACATTGTTTGTGCTGCGTCGCCAGGGAAACACCTGGCAGGCGCGCTCCGACTCCAACAGACTGCTTATTGAGACCCGGTAGTGCGCAAATCGCCTTAGGGCCCCAATTTCCGCACTGAATGTGCAGAGTTGCCAGGGTGTTGATTGGCTGTCGGGCTGCTCGGCCTGATTTTCAAGCGACTGATTGGGACAGGCTGAGACTGGGAGTTTTCCTGGGAGTGTAGGGCCACGAGCTGTGCGCCTGCATGATTCAGCCGGGGCTTTCCAGGCGAGTGTGTGTGGGTTGGCTGCTGATGCAGGAGTGCATGCTGCTCTGACTTGGTGGGGGCCACTGACCATACCCTGTGGTGCCTTGGGGGCCTGCCCCGCCCACCTTGAGCTGTGTTGCTAGGGACACCCTGAGCCCCTGGTCCCTGGCCCATACCTCCGCAGGCCACAGAGGGTTTTTGCAGCAGCAGACAGCCCGCAACAACCTATGAGGATTTTTGGTGTTGAGCGTGGTTCCAGAGCACACAGCTACTAATTGTGGGAAGCTTACTTCAAGTCTAGAGGGAGGTCAGCACATGACGCACTGAGCCCTTCCCCCCACCAGCTGCTGCTGAGTCGCCCAGAGTCTCTCTATTGCTGAGAAAGTGGTCTGCAGATTAAAGCGGATGAAGAAACCCTCCCTTTTTTTTCATTTTTCTTCTTTTTTTTTCTTGTTTTCCCTCTATTTCTATTTTTTCTTTTTCTTCTTTTTCCTTTCTTTTTAGGTGATCTAATACATCGAAGCGAAAGACGACCCTAACTAATAAAATCAGAAATGAAAGAGGGGAAGTGACAACAGTTGCCACAGAAATACAGGAAATTGTAAGAAAACACTACAAGTAACTATATGCCAACAAATTTGACAATCTGGAAGAAATGGATAAATTACTAGAAGCTTACAATCTACCAAGTCTGAAGCAAGAAGAAACAGAAACTCTGAACAGACTGACTATTACCAAAGAAACTGAGTCAGTAATCAACAAACTTCCAACAAACAAAAGTCCTGGAACAGATGGCTTCACAGGTGAATTTTACAAAACATTCAAAAAAGAATTAATACCTATTCTCCTCAAACTATTCCAAAAAATACAGAAGGAGGGAAGGCTCCCAAGCACATTTTATGAGGCCACTATTACTATGATCCCAAAATCAGGCAAATATATTACAAAAAAAGAAAACTACAGGCTGATATCCCTAATGAACATAGATGCAAAAATCCTCAACAAAGTACTAGCAAACCAAATTCAGCATCACATTAAAAAGATCATACACCATGATCAAGTGGGATTCATTCCTGGTATGCAAGGTTGGTTCAATGTCTGCAAATCAATTAATGTAATACATCACATTAACAAAATGATAAATAAAAATCATATGATCATATCAATAGATGCAGAAAAAGCATTTGACAAAATCCAGCAACCATTTATGATAAAAACTCTTAGCAAAGTGGGAACAGTGGGATAATATCTCAACAAAATAAAGGCCATATATGATTAACCCACAGCAAACATTGTACTCAATGGGGAAAAGCTAAAACTTTCCCTTAAAATCAGGAACAAGACTGCCCACTTTCACCACTTCTATTCAACATAGTTCTGGAAGTTCTGGCCACAGCAATCAGAAATGAAAGTAAAATAAAAGGCATCCAAGTTGGAAAGGAGGAAGTAAAATTGTCATTATATGCAGAAGACATGATGCTATGTATAGAGAATCCCAAAGACTCCACCAAAAAAACTGTTAGAACTCATAAACGAATTTAGTAGGGTAGCAGGATACAAAATTAGCATTCAGAAATCAGTTGCATTTGTACACACCAATAGTAAACTATCAGAAGAAGAAATCAGGAAATCAATCCCATTTACAATTACTTCAAAAACAATAAAATACCTAGGAAAAAATTTAACCAAAGAAGTAAAATACCTGTACTCAGAAAATTATAAGATGCTGAAAAGAGAAATCAAAGAAGATACAAATAAATGGAAATACATACCATGTTCATGGATAGGAAGAATTAGTATAGTTAAAATGTCAATACTACCTAAGGCAATATATAGATTCAATGCAATTCCTATCAAACTACCAAGAACATTTTTGTCAGAAATAGAACAGATAATCCAAAAATTTATATGGAGTCATAAAAGACCCCAAATAGCCACAGCAATCTTGAGAAATAAGAACAAAGCAGGAGGTATCATGCTACCTGACATCAAATCATACTACAAGTCTACAGTAATCAAAACAATATGGTACTAGCATAAAAACAGACACATAGATCAATGGAACAGAATAGAGAGCCCAGAAATAAGCCCATCCATATATGGTCACTTAATCTATGACAATAGAAGCAAAAATGTACATTGGAGTAAAGATAGTCTATTTAATAAATGGTGCTGGGAAAATTGGACTGAGATGTGCAAAACAATGAAAATGGACCACCTACTTACACCATAGACAAGAACAAATTCAAAATGGATTAAAGACTTAAATGTAAGACCTGAAACCATAAAACTTCTAGAAGAAAAAAAGAAAGTAAATTTGCAGACATTACCTTGAGTAATATTTTTACTGAGATATCCCCTTGGGCAAGGGAAATAAAAGAACAAATTAACATATGGGATTACA